GGGGGGGGTGGGGGGGGGGGCGGGGGGGGGGGGCATTCAGGGCCAGGGGAGGGATTTTGGGGACACCCTGGGCGGGGGCGGGACATGGGGGAGGTGTGGGACATGGGGAGGGGGTTCTGGGGGTGACAGGGGGGTGTCCCCTGTGTCCACACCCCCTCCAGGGCCCCCACCCCCCAGAGCCGCCCACCGGAGCCCCCGGCCCTCAACGGGATCCGCCCCGACAGCGCCGCGGGCCAGGTAACCCCCCCCGAACCCCCCAAAATTCGGGGGGGACACCCTCGGACCCCTTTGCAGGACCCCCCCCCTCACCCCTGTCCCCCTCCCCAGGTCCCCAGAGGGGCGCAGGAGGGGGGGCCCGGGCCGGGGGGGGTGGCGGCCACGCTGCCCCCCCGTGTCCCCCCCCCACCCGAGACCCTGGAGGGGGGGCTGTGCCGAAAGCAGGAGCTGGAGGCGCCCGGCAAGAGAGCGACCAACAGGTCAGGAGGGGGACACCCCTGGGGACACCCCTGGGGACATCGGGGACACCCTGGGGACACCGGGGACACCCCTGGGGACACTGGGACACCCCTGGGGACACCCCTGGGGACACTCTGGGGACACCCCTGGGGAGACTGGGACACCTTGGGGACACTGGGGACACCCTGGAGACACCTTGGGGACACCCCTGGGGACACCCCTGGGGACACGCCCCATTTCCCATTCCCACACAGACCACGCCCATTCAGACACGCCCACATCACCCGGCTGTATTTGGGCATCCTGGCTCCGCCCACACGACCCCGCCCTCACATGGCCACGCCCATTGAGGGCCACGCCCCTCCCTTAAAGTCCCAACGACCTCCAGGTCCTGGCAGAGTCTGGGCTGTGTCCTGGGGGTCCCTTAAACCCCCCCTGACCCCTCCCCAGGTCCTGGCAGAGTCTGGGCTGTGTCCTGGGGGTCCCTTAAACCCCCCCTGCGACCTCCCCAGGTCCTGGCAGAGTCTGGGCTGCATTCTGGGGGTCCCCTAAACCCTCCCTGACCCCTCCCCAGGTCCTGGCAGGGTCTGGGATGTGTCCTGGGGGTCCCCTAAACCCTCCCTGACCCCTCCCCAGGTCCTGGCAGAGCCGGGGCTGTGTCCTGGGTGGGGATGGTGGGCTCAGAGACCCCCCCTGACCCCCCCAGGTCCTGGCAGAGCCTGTACTGCGTGCTGCGGGGGGGGGTCCTGAGCGTGTTCAAGGACGCGCGGGGGGCGGGCGCGGGGGTCCCGTACCACGGCGAGCCCCCCACCCCCCTGCGAGGAGCCCGCTGCCACCCGGCCACCGCCTACCGCAAACGGAAACACGTCTTCAGGCTGGGGTACGGGGGGAAAAATGGGGGGAAATCGGGGAAAATTGGGGGGAAATTGGGGGAAAAATTGGGGGGAAAATGAGGAGGAGATGGGGGAAAATTAGGGGGGAAAAATAGGAGGAAAGAGGGAGGAGATGGGGGAAAAATGTGGGGGAAAATTGGGG